CTGTTTTAGTGACCACCGGTTTGGCAGCACCAGGAATTTACATTGCTGTCATAACAGTGCTGATCGGAATGTATTCATTTCTGGAAGGATGAAGTGATTTTGTTGTTGTTGTTGTTGCTGATGATGGTGGTGGTGATAATGTTGACAGAGGTTACGATGGGGGCAATGTTGCTGAATGCTTGGCGAATCGAGATCTGTTATTCGGCAATTTGTTGGCTCCCAAACCACTGCATTTTTACCGTTGCTATCAGTGATTGTAGCTGCTTCCAGCTGTTCACGTTTCCTTTTCTCAACACGTCTCCGGATCCGGGCTCGTTGCCACAATATCACTGATATTATTATCACTATTAGGAGCATTATCGTTGAGCACGCCGACACGATGATATGTTGAGAGTAACCTGAAACTCTGGGCAGTTCATCAGCTTATTTAGGAAGATCTAAACGGCACTTCCAGTTTTGCATTAATTGCCAAAATTCGATCGTGTTCCTCTCCACGATGGGCCAACAACGCCAAACAAACTGATATAGAAGATTTTAGGCCCCCGTCCTTATTCATTCTCTTTGTCAAGGTATTCACTGTTTATACTTTTAAAATTTCTGAAATATTTATACTGATGCCTTATTGGTCGAAGTCAAATATCGTGCCCCTTTTCGCTATTTTTAATAGGCGAAGTTGCAAGTACTTGAAATACTTGGATGAGCTATAGTTGGGCTCCACGGCTACAACTTCCGACAACTTTTTCGGTTGCTCTGACTGCTTGCAGCTGGTGGCGATTTTGTCACCCATTCTTTCTTCTCAAATTTGTCCCAGTGCTAATGCTGTTAAAAGCAATTGCTCATTGGTAGTGATATCTTCAGTTCGCTCCGTTAGCGAGCTGAGAGTGATCCTGACTTCCTGGCGTTCGCCAGTATCAATTTATCATTTGAAGGAATTATAAAAAAGTCTGTTTTCCTCATTATCGAATTTGAGCCATGGGTTGAAGCATGAGGGTAAGCTTCGCTGTGTATAAAGCCTGTTATCCTTCTTATTAGTAGCTGAAATAATTCGATGAGTCAGCTGTCCAGCTGAATTCCTGTCAATAGTCTTGAATAGTGAAGTATGATTTAGTGACCAGCTTGTTAGCTACTCTGACATCTGCTTCGCTTGCTCATGTTTAGGCTATTAATCTTTTTGACTTCATCATAGCACGTTATAATTAATAAAGTGTAAATTTTAATAGGCTGGCGAACATGGCAATAGCACTGTTATTATGTAGCAGACCGAGAGTTCAACTATGCTGAAGAACAACAAATCCCTCTACGACTCGTTCATTCGTTTCGACAGCAATTTGACACTGGCATAAGCCAATGATTCAAACCCGTCATTAGCTTGCTTGTAAACAATCCTTGAAAGAGGAAGCCATCGACAGCCTTGCCAGCTGGTGGTTGCATTTGCAACCACC